ACAAAAAAGAAAAGGCGTGCTTCAGGATTTCAGCCAATGGGGCACGACCAAAATGCCCTCTCCATTCTGAAGAGATCGATCCTTGAAATTTCAAAGAACCTCGTGAGGCTCCCTTTCACATCTGGATAAAATGGCATAGACGAAGCTGGAAGAACAGAGAATGGCCTATCGGCAAAGCTCCATTTTTTTCCATGTCAGCCTGAGTTGCAGGTCAACAGGGTTCTACGCCTGGCAGTGCCGCTCATACCTCGCACATCATCATCTTGGACTTTGTCGATTGCCCCAATGACTCACTGTCCGAGTGCTACTATGCTACCCAACTCTTGTAATGTCTACCGTTTTCAATTTCACTTACCTACCATTACTTCACTGCACCCGGTTCACCACAGTCACAAACCTGACCTCTTCTTTTTTACCATTGTCAGTCAGGAGCTGATTCTATGCACCACTTCCAAGATGCCTCCAACGAAATGAACACAACTATTGGCTTGCAGGACGCACTCCTACCTCCTCCTGCTTATACCTTTACACTGTTTACAGCCACCGATATCAGTCACCACATGAGCTCATGTTGATATCTTTGGATCTGTGGTTCTCTTGGCTCCAAACTTCCAAAGGCATTAGATGATTCCGGCCAGTTCTAGAACAGGTTGGAGTCCTTGGTCCTTGGGTCCAGTGCAGCAGCACAATGCATTTTCACTGCCCTTTCCCATTGCTGCGGTTTTCAATGCATTGCATCATACATGACAAGGGCATCCCTTTCCAGCACCACCTCTCTCAAAATTTGGCACCCAAACCCTAACTTCAGTTTTGGACCTGTTAGTCAGGAGCTGAAAGTGGGGGTCCCCATTAACCACTTGTGAGTCGTGACGCACAGTAGGTTCAACAGATCTCAGGTTCGATCCATTGGGCTGACAAACCAGCAAATGTACACATTTACAAGCCAAGTCCTAGACGCCCAAGATTTCAGCATGTGGGCATTGGGTTTTCCCCACCGCCCAGAGAGGGGTTTCATGAGCGGACAACACATGTCCACACTGCCGCAGTTCTCTGCTAAATTGGTAAAAATGCAGATGTCCACAATCGATATGAATTATTTCATTCGCATGGTACTCAAGTCTCTTGAGTCTGCACATCAGAGAAGTAGTAATAGTGTTATTGTCAACTTATTGAACCCAGCAAATCCATTTTCAAACTTCAAATCCTCATATCACATGGACGCACTGGAAACAATAATATCCTCCATCCCCCTATCCTGGGTGCAAGTACTTAGAAGGGGACCCTCCCTGCATCATGGGGACTGGGTGATGATACTTGGAAAACCGGACAGGGTGGGAAATGTGATCGACGTGGTCAACGTGTTCCCGGACGGGGAGGTGCTGCTCTCCCTCTTCTACATACACCACGACACAGCACGTGCAAGACATGAGCCTGAGGAGACAGTCCGGGTGGACTGAGCAAGGCTGCTCAGAGTTGGGGTACTGAGAATGAAAGAAGAATGGGTAGCCTTCCGGCCTGACAGATTAATCTCCCACCTACCCCTTTGACCCAGCAAACTGGGTCTGGGCAATCC